GGCTAAGAATTAAATTAATTTAATCTAAAGAATATATATGCCGAATCATAGTGATAAAAAAAATAAGATTAAAAGTTGAATTCTATTCCAGCATTATGAATTCGGCATGCATATTTTTAGAAAAATAAAATTTAAAAAATATGCATGCCAAATTTATTTAATCGTGTATGCTAATTCGTAAATTAAATTAATTTGATCTAAAGATATGTATGCCAAATTCATAATGATAAAAAAAATGCAATTAAAAGTTAAATTAATTTGATTCTAGCATTATGCATATCATTAGAAAGATAAAATTAAAGATTGAAATAGCTTGATTCCAAGACATGCATACCAAATTTGTAATAATAAAAAAAAATTTAAATAATTTGATCGCGTATGCTAATTCATAAAAAAAAAAAAATACTCCTGTTGCATGTTAACACTTCCGCTAATAGTATCTGAAAGTATAAAAGAAGTACTATTTTGCCTTCATATTAGTATTAGTTTTTTTAGCTTATATTAAGCTTCTTGTTCAAATTAAATATTTCAAATAAAGCTATCTTCCCTTATTATATATAGATTGATATTTCTAAAAAATAAAAATAAAAAAATAAAAGATAAAAAAATAGCACAAATCAAAGAAATAGGTTTACCTTCACCCATATTAGTAAAAACCTATGCTGATATTTATTTTAATACTCAAGATATAGAGTGTGCTGTCAAATTTTTTGAAGAGCTTGGCATTTTACCTTGATTACTTTTGTGTAAAAAATATAAAAGCTCTATGCTAAATCAAAAGACCTTTCCTGTAATGGTAAGAAAAAATGGGCCTGTATTTCAAAAACTGCTTGCGGTTATGGACAAACTATAAGATCTGGAACTTGGTTAGAAAATTCCCATCTATCACTCGTGCAAATTGCTAAAATTATGTTTTGTTGGTCCTATAAGTTACCTCAAAAATTTGCTGCATGTGAATCTGGTGTCACTGTACAATCAATGGTCAATTGGTATAATTTTTGTCATGACATTTGCTGCGTAGCATTAATAAATCAAAGTGATAAAATTGGTGGCAAAGATAAAGTTGTAGAGATTGATGAAAGCAAATTTGGTAAGCATAAATATAATAAGAGAAAAAGAGTAGAATATCAGTGGGTTTTTGGAGGAGTTGAAAGAGACTTGGATAAAATATTTATGATTATGGTTTCTGATCGCAAACAAGAAACATTAGTAAAAATTTTAGAGGAATATATAGAAAAAGAAATTACTATTTATAGTTATTTTTGGGCCGCCTACCAACCTAAAGAGTTCGAAAAGCATGGATGGAAACTTGAAAGAGTTAACTATTCAAAACACTTTAAAGATCCTGAGACAGGTGTTTATATGAACATGATTGAATCAACTTGGCATGCCTTTAAAGCATCTTTTCCATGGTATAGAACGATCAAAGAATTATATGATACATACTTTTTAGAGTATATATGGAGGCAACAGTTTGTTCAAGATGATAGTAATGCATTTAACAAGTTAGTGGAACATATAGTATTATATGGCAAGAGTTTAAAAGAGATAATATTTTTAAATAAAATAAATAAAACAAAACTTAAATTAATTCTTACTCTTTGAAATAATTTTTAGACAATTCCATTGCCTGAATAATATGATATTAACAAATTAGCAAACAATAAATAGATGCAATATTAAAACTTGCCAGATAAATAAATAAAAATAAAAAAATAAAAAAATAAAATAAAATAATCAAATCTAATCGCATTAGAGTTTTACCTTTCAATAATACTGTAATTCATCTCACGATATCTCCCATATATTGTATTTACATAATTCTACTGCAAAGCACTTATCCACACTATAATAACAATAACAGTATATCATCCATTCTTTAACATATTGCTTAATTAAAAAAATGTGATAACGAACTATCAATAACTAAAAATAAAATAGAAGAAATCTGTTAATAATGCTATTGGTTTATTTTCAAATACAAATAAAAATAAAAACAAGCTATAATACCAAGTAGTAAGAAAAAAACATATATCACTCAAGATCAAGAATTTCATACAAGATTGAATTAAATAGTTATGAATAGAAAAAAAAGAAAAACCAATGATCTAGAAAATAAAAACTTCGCAAAAACACTATACAAAACTTAGCTTTACTACACTTGCTTCACACTTTTAAACAAAACCTTAGCTAATTCAAACAATAGAAATACTTGGCTTTGTTATAGTTAATTTTAGATTAGTAATAAAGTTTTTATCTCAGTAAAGGTAACGTTAAAGCTCTGAAAAGTTTGATTTCATATGTATTACAGTTATATGAAAATGTCATATCACATACGATTATGTATGTATTACCTGATCTTGTTTATAATTTCTGGCCAATCAAATTTTTATGTAACTATATCGAGGGTGCCACAATTCACAATAATTACTGGGTTCAGTGATCTTTAAGTGTCCCAGGAATAATAACCCTCGACAAGGGATAATAACCCTCAGAGAGGGATAGAATCTACTAGTAGAAGGTTAATGCCACAGAAATTTATAAATTATAAATAGGGACAGTTTCAGCTTTAAATCAAACAATTATTGCTTGTAGAAATATGCAATTATTAGTTGCATATACACTAGAGTTAAATTCTATTGTTATAAGATTATTTGTATTAGTGCTTAGAACAAACAATAAATAAAGTGAAACCCTTTAATCTGAAATCATAAAGCTCATTTATTACTTCAAAAATGCACTATTTTCACTCAATCAACAATACATAATAAATTAGTTTGATCATTGACCACATGAATTGCTTCATTAAACCCATACCTGATGCCGACTAAACTAATATTGTGAAGTCCATTACAAACCCCTTATCTTTTGTTTATGATCAATGCTAAACCAATATTAACTATGAAGCTCTCTCACTAATTATAACTCTGCTAATTAAATTTATCTCTAATCCATTGGCTGAGGTGCTTGAGAGGCTAGGTAAAATCACCACCCAAAAAAGTTTTGAAATCATGATTAGCATCTTGATAATATTATTAATAAAGTATTAATTGATTTAATAATGATTTTGTTTCCTTTGATTCTTCAAAATATAAAACAATCATTGCAATCTTTTAAATACATAAAATCAAATAACACAATATTCTAAAAATACACCTTGTTCATCATAACCAAAATTTCCACTAATGATAAACAAAAAAAGAAATAAAATTATAAAACTAATTAGGCAAATGCAATTACACCAGAAAATCTTATACAATTGATACCAGTGTGTGAAATTCAAATATAATTTTATGTTCTTACAAGAACATCTATATAATAGATTTTGAAATTTTTTATGTTCTCATATAAGTGTAACCTAAAATTTTTATGTTCGCAGAGAACATTGAGAACATTGAATTTTACACACTAATTGATACTGTCTAATTGCATACTGTCTAATTGCATATACTCTCTAAATGCATAAAAATTTGTATTATTTATTTCATGGTGGAGTAGAAATTATAACAGAGGTCATAGTACGTGGATGACTCTTCAGGCCATCCATGTACTATGATCATCAGTAATCTCTGTTATAATTTCCCACAGGAAATAAATAAATAATCCCCAGGAGCGTGTCACTAGATGTTAATTGGACTACCATATCATTATTTTTACACGTGTTCCATATTTATATTTCGTATTGTGCTTTACTAACTTATGGGCATTGTTTTATTTTTATTTTATTTTTACATCATTTTTATTGTTTTTATCTTTTTATCTTTTTTATCTTTTTATCTTTTTTGCTTTTACTTCTACGTTTATCTATTTTCAAACTCTTACTTTCACTTTGCTCTTATCGTGCCTTTCTTTAGCTTCATTTTACTGTGCCTATTTACTTTGACTTTAAAGTTCTTTAGATAAAACGTAAAAAATGCAAAAAAGAAAATGATTCAAATAAAAATTAAGCGGCAAAAATTAGAGTTTCCCGATGATTAATATGAGACCGGGAATCTTCCGTGGGAAGGTTCCCGGTCACAATATGATTATTATAAACATGGTTAATCATTAGGGTGTTCAATCGACTAATTAATCAAACATAGTTAGGGTCATATATGATGATCATTTAAGTTCAGATTTTTTATAGGCATATAACTAGATCTACATGCAAGTGTATTATAAATCGAATTTAGTGAACTATAAATTTAAAAGCCCGACATGTATTCTTGTTATGATATACATTTATTATTAAAACATTAAATCAAATCATTTAGCTAATTTACATATTTTGAAGCTAATAATAAATTAAATCATATACTATTTTTTTTTTAATTTGAAGCTTTAATGTTGCTTTATACTGAAATAGAGCTATTTTTTAAAAGTTTTTAATTAAATTTTTTAAAAAATAAATATCAAAAATTACAATAAATTTGGTTATTAATATCTTAATAATTTGTTAAGAATTTTTAAAAAATGGCTCTATTTCAATATAATACAAGATTAAAGCTTTAAATTAAAAAAAATTTTATGTAATTTGATTTGTTATTTAAGTTAATAAATGTACTTTAATCTTATAAGCCAGTAAAAAATCCGAACTTAGTGATCATCATATATGACCCTAATTATGTTTTGATTAATTAGTCGATTGAACACCCTAGTTAATCATGTGTAAAAAATAATGATGAAGGCAGTCATGAGTGACACTTAGTGCGACAGGGGATTATTGGTTTTTAATTATTAACGCAAAAATGGTTCTTATGACTTAAATGCATATATTGTCTACAGTTGATACTGTCTTTTGTATCACATGTAACATATTTCTACAGACCGTAACTTACTCAATACAGCAATATATATTATTAAATTTTCACCTGTATGTATATTTGACATATTTGGGTATGATTATTTTGTATAAAAATTTATGGAAGAACAGCTCTTGTCATCCAATAAACCTTAACAAGTAATATAAAAAAAGCTTCCAGCTCATGAGCAGACGCAAGACTTGTTGTTCTGTAAATTTATTACAAATCTTCTAATACTTTAGATATTTCTTGTGTGTCGATAAATCTTGAAATATATACACTATCAGAATATTCTTGTTTAAATAATTCATTAATTATCTCATAAACATAAAAAGAATCATAGCTCGTTTCTTCAAGTATCTCATTTATTTCCAAAGCTGTAGGTGGATTAAAATCTATACATCGCATTATTAGTTCAACATAATAATCAGAAATACCAAAAGAAGATTTTGGCAACAACCCACTAAAAATCCTTAACACGAGGTCAAAATTATCATAAAATTCGAAAGGCCTTTGTCCGATCATTATTTCAATCATGATAACTCCAAAGCTATAAATGTCAGCAGCCTGTGTAAACTTTTGTTTCAGTAAAATTTCTGGTGCAATATATGGCATAACACCATAAACTTTGTCTTCTACATTTTCATATAATTTCCTAGATAGCCCAAAATCAGAAATATAAGCTCGTATATTGGTATCTTTATTCAATAAAATATTACCACTGTGAAGATCCGCGTGAATATATCCTGATTTATGAATGACCATTAAATCATAAGAAACATCTTTAAGTAATTTTAATTTAATCTTCCAAGTAAGATCTTTAAAATTTCTTAAAAAATTATAAAGATCTCCATTGTTTGCATATTGAAATACCATCATATATTCATTTGTTTCTTTGTTTCTTGTCAATCCATATATCTTAAGTCTACATTGTATTTTCATATAAATACTAAACTTTATGAAATCAATAAAATATTCAATAAACTACAGTCAGATCTCGTTATAGTCACTCTTAATATAGTCACAACCTTGATATAATCATACTATTATTTTAACTCGAACTATTATAAAACATATAAAATTTGACCTTTATATAATTAAAACCTTTTATAATCACCAGATTTTTATTTAATTATATCGAGGTTAGACTGTATACAATAAATAATAATTTCAACTTACTTCTTTTAAAATTTCAAAATGATTCCCTTTAAAAGTTTTAAGTGCAACAACAAAAAGTGCAGCTCTCTATTCCAAATTGCAGAAAATACAGAACCAAATCCTCCTTCATTGATTTTTTTAATATTGTTCAAATTATCAAATGGAATCCATTCAACCATATAATTATTAATTATTCCGCCATCTTCAACAGATTTCAGATAATATTTAAATGCATTTATCTCTTCGTTTAATTCAACAACTTTTTCAATATTAATTCCATATTGATATTGCCAATCCTTATAATAAAAACTGGTACCTTTAGTAAATGCAAATTCAGGATTCTGCACGAGTGCATAAAGAAAATTCAAGATTCGAGACTTATTTGAACAGTATTCAATTCCTAGCGATTCAGTTAGATATTGATCCAAAAAATTTTCTCGAATATCTTGTTTAATACGTATAAATGATTCTACTAAAGATTTACCAATAAATTCCAATCTGTCTTCAAATAAATAGAAGATCTTACCAATGATGCTATAACTTAGTTGAAAACAAATGCTAATCAATTTTGAAAGTCGCTTGGTAATGATCTTAACGTCGGGTAATGTCCACTCAACTGAAAGGGTGGACGGGGAAAATAAAAGAAACGCGCTCTGAATTACAAGATTGTTTACATCATCGTATATTTTGTAATAACCAATTTCATTCCACAATGAAATCAAATTTTTGCTAACCCAGACAATCATATAAAGTTGTCTATTATTCTCGTAACCCTGATGTTCTTCAAGAATATTTCGTGGGTTGCAAAGATTAGTAAATATTCTAGGCAGTCTAGGAGGAAACGGAATAGATTTTTTGTTACGCATTAAGTCTTCAATAGAGTTCATAGTTTCTTTCATAATGTCCGAAGTATCCATAATCACATGTGGTCTGACAGAAAGAAAATGAAAAGGCACTATGCCATTGCCCTTTACGTAAAGTTTATTTGCTTCAAATTGGGCTTGTGCCAACGTTAGAAAATGCACAAAAGCAAGCAATTGTAAATTAACTCTTTGCTGTAATGACTTGATCCGATCATTATCGATCTGTCTGACGTTACGCATGATTTTTAGTCCTATTAATTTAGGATCATAATCTCTATAATGAAGGAGAAACTTTTGAATAAAGTATCTTGAGAGAATTGCACGTTTTGCAATAATAGTAGGTAAATCAATAAATGATGGTCCTAATCTCACGGCGTGAAAAAGGCTGTAATTATTAATAATCCATTCGGCTTTCGCCTCACTATTTTTAGTAATGCTGCGCCATTCTTTACAAGTTGATATTAGATTTAATGGATTTTCAATATGTTTCAAAATGTTAATTTTAATATTAATTGGAATTTTTTTTTGATACATAATTTACTGATATCGTATGCTTACAGCGAGTATTTAAATAAAACATTGTCTTGATTGAAATAATTAAATATGCAAACATGGGCATAATAAAAATTTTATATTTAATACTATTAAATAAATTGCGGCAGTAATTTTTTTCAACTTTCTTGTTTACGACCATTGGGAGCCGAGGGAAAATTCGGGAAATCCAGAAACTAACTTGTTTATTTGATCCCTTTGCTTTGAGAAACTAAATTATCTCAATAAATGAATAATTATCAATCAAATTACAATTATCTCTTAGATCAGACAAACGAAATAGGCTAGATTATTGCTATTTTTAGAAGGTTATGTGAATATTAGTTTCTAATGAGTTTAATGAATGTATAAACACGTATTCTTTTTACATGCTCAAAGATAGATAAGCTATTTTACTTGTTCTTTCTTTCTCTAATCTGGATCATAGTTACATAAAAATGCGTAAAAATATATACAAGACAATTATATACGTATTAACTTTTTTACTGTATAAATCAATAGAATCAATAACTAGGAGTAACCCCTGTAATTTGTTGTTTATAATATTGGGCCGGGAAAACTGATTATTGGGACGGGAATACTAGAAATATATATGTTTACGTGCACTCAAGTTCAATCGTCGGCAAATATATTATTGTAATGTCATATAATCCGTGAACTCCGACACTACATACATCATGATTCATGAAATATATATATATATTAATATATATAATGCCCTTAGTTTATTTGTTATATAAATAGCGGGAATAAAAACACTTTTACTTTACTCAAAAAGAGTTTATTTGAAAATCGTATTTTCCTGAAATAGATTAGTACTCTGCCAGCATTCACAACTTCACATTATTGGAATACAAAAATATTTATCATGAGTTCATTGTAATTATTACATTCTTTCATTATTTATCACATCATGTAACCCTGCGGCAGCCAGAAGACTGTATATTCGAAAAGGGTGATTTTATATTAATCAAATTAGTAAAGATTCCTAAAAAATAGCAAGAGCCGATTATCTCTCGCCTTTTTAATACAGTGATAATGATAGGGTTTGACAGGTGGATCCTATGTTAATATAGAGATATATGACTTCTTAAATTATCAATCTTTTATCTTATTTTGATTCACATTTTCTTCACATATCCGGAACTAAATAATCCTCATTTTTTTTCGATTTTCATAAATCAATAAGAAAATTTTTTTTTTATCTTGAGAATCCAAGGATTTGAGAAATTAGAAAAAAAAATTTTATTGTGCAAAAATACAGCATAAAAACAAAATTTTAATCTAATATGGGGTGAAATATATTAAAACAGCCCATTTTTGCAATTTTTTGAAATTTTGGTTTATTTGATTTTTAATAGAAAATTATTCAATAAAAAGTTGTCATAAGTAAGAAGAGCAAATTGTATCCACAAAATGAACTTGCAATAAAAAATTTCATATACATTACTACGTACGTACGTATCTGTACATCATTTAAATGATGTAACACCCCATATTTTAGATTCGATATTACAGTATTCAATCTCCTTAATTCCAAATTTGGCATAATTAATACGTTAATTTGTTCAAAAATTATTGATCACCGATAGAAAAAAAATGAAGGCGAGGGAAAGGGAGAATATTCAAGATAATGTTCAAAGAAAAAGGCAGTAATCATTTGAGATTGCCTCTTTAAATTAGACATATTAAATTATATCAAAGTCAAAGTACGTATCTCAAGATTTCTATTTGTATGGCTAATTACGAAAATTATCATCCCTGCATAAAATCGATGGTACATTTCATTATAAGAATTCCTTTTTAATTTGTATCTCACTTATTAAACCAAGGAAAGAATCGAATCCTTTCAAGTATTAACAATTTAGAATGTTCGAATCTCTTATTTCGAAGACATAAGATTGAGTTCTCATGATTTTTGCATAACATAGAATAGCTCAAATATATTATTTTTTTAACGCCCTTATTAGTCAATAATTTAAAACCTGTACGTCGTAAATTATTGGTGCTCCTAAAATCGGCGCTCTGGGGACCAGACATAAACGTGCATTTAGAGGGGTGTGCATTTATGGATTATATGTAGAGAGAAGCCAGCAAGAGTCATGTATAATCATTTTATCCAATAAGAATTGGCTTGTAGATTATTATATAAGAATTCTTAATTATAATTGGATGATAATCACGTGTGTGCATTGCACGTACTAAGTCCCGGGTTCAAAATCTCTTGCACTTGCAGAATTTAGAGGGTGTCACTAAACCTAAGTCCCAAGCTTGGGACCAAGCTGTTGCGTGCATTTAGAGAGGGTGTGCACTTAGAGAGGGCACATTTAGGGATGTTTAACTGTAATCTATTTTTATAACTCTAACGTTAACAACTCATACAGCGACTCCAAAAATTCTCCTGGTTACACACAATTTGATTGGATCATGTGGCGCAGATCCTATTAATAAATTCGAAAACTTTTTAAAAATCCTAGCAATGATTTCTCAATAGCTACTTGATCAAATTCAGCAAAAATTTTTATTTCAATTCAATAAATCTGTTGAATTAAAATAAAAAAGAGTTCATTGAATTTGGTTCAGTGGTTATCGAGAAACCATCGCTAAAAGTTTAAAAAAAACTTAAAATATCGAAAAAAAAAAGATTTCTTGACAACCAACTATCAGAATTTAATGAAAAATTTTTTATTTTAATTCTATTAGTTAATATAATTAAAATAAAAAACTTTAATCGAATTAGGATAGTAGGTTGTCAAAAAAATATTTAAAAGTTAAAAAAATTTGGCCGCAGCTTCTTTTTTTAAGGTGTCTAAACTTTGAACGAAGATTACTCGGCACTTACCTGATCAAATTTAATCAATTTTTTTTTTATTTGAATTCTACAAGCTCATATAATTGAAATTAAAAAAAAAATTGATCAAATTTGGCAATGTAAGTGCTGAGCAATCTT